ATCCAAATTCCTTATCAACATGATGGTTGTACCAATTTTCAATTTCAATGAATGGTTAGGCAAATCAGAAGTTTTAAGACAACTCAAGAATTCTGGTGTCGAATACTCGAAAGCATAATTATCATTTGTTTATGATCTATCAATGGAATCACAACTCAAATACTCTTTACATTCACCTTCATGAAAAAGAATGATTATTAAGGTATAAATATTTATATATTTGAAACAAAAAGAGTATACAACTCTTAAATATCATATTTAATAGTCCAACTTCACTAAAATACCTATTTTTAAAGAAAAGAGTATTCATGTATCAGACATAACTAATAAAGATTAAAATATACCTGGAAGAAGATTAGTTATGTAGTCATTAATGTCGTTAACAATTTCAATAGTTGATGCTAGAATTGCTCGACATTGAAGGAAATCTGGATTTGTGTAATTTCGAAGTAGATTTGGATAGGTACTTGTAACAATTGCCTCAATTGGATCCACAAAATCTCTAATGAGTAGCTCTTTAGGAATATCTATTTCAACATAGCCATCATTGGATTCTGAGACTTTCCCATTGCCAACTTGTAAAATCCAATCTGAGAATAGCCTAACTTCTTCTAAATTGCTTAAATTAGGACCATTTTGCAATCTCTTATTTTTGGTTAGATTCAAAACTTTACAATGATCCCAAATATATGATGCATTTATTGTTGCATGGACAATATCAGACCCAGTACCTCTTGGTACAACAGGTAAAATTTGTCTGAAATCTCCACCAAAAATTACAACTTTGCCTCCAAAAATTTGTTGACGTTCAACATTGTCATCACTCATTATATCCTTCAATAACTTGTCAAGAGCTTCAAAACAAAACTTATTAGCCATATGTGCTTCATCCCATATAATGAGTTTTGTTACCTTCAAGATATTAGCAAGATCTAATTTTTTCTCAATGTTACAGATGGAAGATTCCAGACATGGAACTGGAATTTTGAATTTTGAATGTGCAGTTCTCCCACCTGGTAACAACAAACTTGCTATTCCACTAGATGCTACATTTAACACAATATCTCCTTGACAACGCAAAGCAGCAGAAAATGTGTTCCACATGAAAGTCTTTCCAGTCCCACCATAACCATATAAGAAAAAAAACTCCACCATTTTGATTTGTGACAGCTTGCATAACTTGTCTAAAAATTTCATGTTGTTCATCTACATTCAAAAAGAACACACCATCAAAGTTGTTACATTAGCAATGTTTAAATGTTCAATTCCTGTTAGGAGGTATACCATAACCATTACCATATAATGAATATCATGAATATATAATTACTAAAATCTACTCCATGAACAGTATAGAATAGGTACCGCATATGTGTTTAAGTTGATGAGAATGAAGATGAACAACTATTATAGAAGGCTTAATAAAGCATAAAGTAATATTATTGAAATAATTGTAAAATCAATACCCGTTAATTTTTGAAATAGATTGTGGTAAATATCTTCTTGAGCCTTGATATCATATTGCCTTTCATTATATATCAATCTATTTCCAAGAAAGTCAAGGACATAATTATTTGGATATGGCATTGGCTTAAATTCTTTCCAACTTCTTCTATTTTTCTGCAGCTGCTTCTCAATTTCCATCAAAGTGAGTTGTTGAATATCTTCATCTGACAAAGTTAAATCTACAAAAAAAATAAACGTTAAGTAATGAAAAAATATTATTGAATAAAAGTATTGTAAAAGTGTTGTAGAAGTGAATAAAAGTGTTGTCAACAAAAGTGTTGTAAGCAATAAAATGGAGGAGATAAAATATAACTTATTGTGATATAGATATAAAAAATATGTATTAATATAACCTGGATTTTGTGACAATAGTCTTTGTTCATATAGAATTCCATCTGATAAGTATATCCAAGTGTAAAGCCAAACATGTTCTGGTCTATTCAATGAAGCTGATAATAACATTGTAACAAAAAGCTTGCGCAAAAATACTCCAGAATCCCAGTTATAAGCTTCTTTAATTGCCTCAATGAACTCTTTGTCATCTTCTAAGAAGCCCGTTGCAAAACATGCTTCTCTAAAAGAATTGTGCTTGAACCCTTCAATTGTCTTTAATTCATCATAAGATCTTGGCCCTTTCTTCACAGTCAACAACATCCTCATATAATACAATTCTCCGATCGTTGGTGGGACCCAAATGAGTTGGCCAATTATGTAACCTCTTTTACGTGGTTTCCAACACCTTTTCCTCTTGTCATATACAAATTTTGACACAAATTGTCCATACGTTAAAGACCTTGCTTCTTCATATTGGCTATTTGCGAGAAACCAAGAAGTAAACATTGATTCTGTGACACTTGGTTTAAGTAGGAGAGTACCTATTTGCTCAAAATCTTTGTAGTACACAGAATTCTCTCCTTCCATGTGAAAAAATAATCTTTCAACAACTGGCTTTCTACCATGAATTGAATAAGAGAAGATTCTCCAGCAAGCTTCACTTGGTGATACATATCTACAATCAAGGTATTGCTTGATTTCATCAGTATTTCCATCTTGACTAGTGTTATTTGGAACGATAACAGCCGAGATCCTATCAGAACCCTTGTTGATGTATTTGAAAAGATATTTAATTGACGTACTTTGATTGAACCACTCCATATTTATATGTGCCTCATATTTCATCAGCAAACTTGGATTATGGGGTACAACATGACCACTGTGCAGTGTGACTCCGTTTTTCTCAAATGTATTACCTTGATCTCTCCTTCTATAAACTGGATATCCATCTTGATCAACAACTGTGACATTTTGAAATTTCTTAAGATAGTACTTGGAACACTTACCATCTTTCATGCAAGGGCATTTAGGATTTTCTAAACCACAGGGTCCATGTACCATGTGGGTTTTCACCAGATTATACAGTCTTGGATGTTTCAATGGATCGGGAACTTCAGCAAAAATGATTTTGTCTATGTCTTCAGGAGCGGGATATTTATTTGATGGATGCAAGAAAATAAGAATGTGTGCATGTGGGAGACCCCTTTTCTGAAATTCAATTGTGTACATATCTGAAAATAAGATCAAATGTTAAAAAAATAAATACATATGAGAATTGGGTAAATAAGAATGTGTGCATGTGGGAGACCCCTTTATGTGTAAACATTGGATAAAGTAAAATGCTAGCAAAAAAGAAATGGTAGACTTACATGCGAGAACCTTGCCTAAAACACCTTTCTTTGTCACGTCCGCTAGGAGGTTATCAAACTTCATTTTAAATATTCTAGCAATGATATCAGGTCTATCATGTGGCTTCAAATTTAGAGGACCAAACAATCTTTGAATTTCTGGCCAATTTGGGTTGCATGTGAATGTAATGAAAAGATCTGGAAATCCCACCTTACTACAAATTGCCATGCCATCATAGTACAACTGATCCATAAATCGTCTACTCCCCACATAAGATGATGGTAATATGACTCTTTTTCCTATGCTTGATCCATGTGTTTGCTCTTGCTCTACATTTAGACTTGTATACTTTGACACTTTTAGTTTGGACTGATTTTTCCTAATCCATTTCAATCTCTCTCCTTCAAGCATTGTGTAACCATCCACCAAAAACTGTTGGAACAATCTTTTGGATGATAACAAAGTCTTTGCCTCATTGCACCTACTTTGGATTCTAAATGCCAGTCATTCTCGAATAGTTAGTCGGTCCCTTTGACTGTCATAAAAAATGTCAAGATCTCTGTGTGCAATGGCGTCTCTATATCCATCCTCTCCATAAGGAAAAATCAAGGGATACTGGTAAGACAAGTAAGCTGGATGAAACTCATCAATGCGTTGAAGTTGCCCCCATTTAGCTCGCAATCAATACAGACGAGGGAGATGATGATGTCCTGAAGTATGAAGTGTGGAGAAAATGGAGAAAAGTGAAATATGATTTGTGGAGAAATGAGAGAAATATCAGAAGAAGGAAAGATATAGAGAAGCCTGAATAGTGTGAGAAGAGAGGAAAAAATGGAAAAAGTTTTGGGACCAATGGTTAACTGACACGTGGATGAGAACCAAGCTCTTAGCAAGTGTAAATATATGAATATGTTGATTACCAAAGTGTCCCTATTGAAAGCAAAATGTAATATTTGTTATTGGATATTTTTGTAATAATGGTGGCATCTTTTTCCAATGGGTAGATAGTTGAAAAATGGTTTAAATTAATTTATATCGTCAACTAATAAAAGATGTGTATTTCGTCAAATCACACTTAAAATTTAAAAATATTTTGATGATTTAGTAATTTATTAATTTTTTATTGGGCGGTTTTACATATCCATCACACTCTATTATTATTATTATTGGCATTTTCCCTTAAAAACAATAAAAAATGAGTGAGGATGAACTTACTTAAAAAATATTTTTTTTATACTTATTTTAAATTATAATTTTTAAATTAGATTTAATTAATTAATTAATTAAATTAAATATTAATTTACTCATAAAATAAATTGATCCCTACTCATCAATAATTATAATACATGTTTTTTATTTTAATGTCAAATATTAAAATACAAATAAAATAATTCATATAAAATTAATTTTCAAAATAACACAAGTTGCATATAAAAAAACTAAAATGAAATGTGATTGATTCATATTTTTGTGATGATATGCCAGTTTTGCATCCAAAATAAATTGGATTACACAAGAACCACCCTAATTTATACAAAAGAATAAAACAAAATTACAAAAAGCCAACTTCAATTAAAAAAAAAAAAAAGCGGGGACCGCCTAATTAGTTCTGATTGGTCAGTTTTAAGAGACACGGATCGCCACGTCAGCGACAGCGAGCCATTAATCTAACGGTGGCTTGTTTTCCAGAGCAACAACCTTACCGGGGAAGTATAAAACCTAACCAACACCTATTCCTGTTATATCTCACCATCCTCATTTCTCAGCCTTTCATACAATATTCCGAATCTACCCACTAGTTTTTGAATTTCAAAATGGTGGGAGCTGGTGGAAGGAAAGGAGGAGAACCAAGGAAGAAGTCCGTCACAAGATCCGTTAGAGCGGGACTTCAGTTCCCCGTCGGAAGAATCGGCCGGTTTTTGAAGAAAGGTAGATACGCTCAGCGTGTTGGTACTGGTGCTCCTGTTTACCTAGCCGCTGTTCTCGAGTATCTTGCCGCTGAGGTAAATTATTTCCTCTTTTCACTTTTTCGTTGCTACTGTGGAGTTGGAATTTTGTGAATCTATACCCTATGAAATTTGTTTAATGTTCAGGTTCTTGAGTTGGCTGGAAATGCAGCACGTGATAACAAGAAGAACAGAATTAGTCCAAGGCATTTGTTGTTGGCAGTAAGGAATGATGAAGAGCTTGGAAAATTGCTTGCTGGTGTTACCATTGCTCATGGCGGTGTTCTTCCTAATATCAATCCTGTTCTTCTGCCTAAGAGGGCTGAGAATGCTTCTACTACTACTAAATCGCCTAAATCGCCATCGAAGGCCAGGAAATCTCCAAAGAAAGCTTAGATATTGGAGTTTATTTGTTCCATTTTGTTATGTGTGGATACCTTAGGTTAAACACACCTCTCGTGTGTCAAGAGTTATTCAATGTATGTCTGGTAATGTAATTGGAATGTTTTTGTCTCTCGATAATGAAAACATTTTGTTGTTTAGGACAGATAAGTGATTGCTTCTAGGTTATTTTAAATGCTTAACCGTAGGTGGTTGTTCATAACACATTTTTGAAAAAAGCGAATCAAACTAAATGATACTATTTTAGAACTATAATAAAAATTTATTTGAAGCAAACCAATTTATTTCAATTTTATTTAAAATTTAATCGAATCAATTTTGACTAAAATAAATTTTTTTGGGACGAGGTGACTGACATTTTTGTGTTAATTTTTGGGCGAGGTGAGTGATATGCTCTTGGTATCTTACCTTCTTGAGTTGCCTTTATGTTAGTTTTTTAGTACCTTCACATTTTATTCGAGCATTTATTTATTAGATGAGATGTCTTAGTCTTAGGTTTTTCATGTATGATATGCAATTCTGCGTTGGACATCTAATCGGTCAATAGGTGTTACTTAGAAGGCCGCGATCATTTATTTATTAGATGAGATGTCTTAGTCTTGAGGTTTTTCATGTTTGACATGCAATTTTGCGTTGGACATCTAATCGGTCAATAGGTGTTACTTAGGAGGCCGCGAGACTTAACTACACTTTTGAAATTTTAGGAGACCAACCATTTACAATTAGAGTGAGGCTATGAGACTTAACCACACTTTTGAGATTTTAGGACACTAACCATTCACACTTAGAGTGAGGCTGCGAGACTTAACCACACTTTTGAGATTTTAGGACACCATCCATTCACACTTAGAGTGGATGTTGGATTATAAAGAACTTAATTTAGTTCTCTAAGCTAAAAATATGTGATTATTAATAAGTAAAAGTGATCTAATCTCTTACACAAACAAAATCATTTATACAAAGTTTCTCACTTTATCGTGTGGGCTAACTGTAATCTTCAACAAATTCTAAAACCTTTGACATATCTTATCCATTAGAAGTTTTAACCCTCATTGTACTTTTATCTAGTACCATTCACACACATCGTGGATCCTTAGAAAAATTGATATGAACCACCCTCACTATATTCAAGTGAAGTATTGCCTTTCCACTCACCCCTACCTCATGTTGAACAAGAAGACAACTACTTTGACCATCGAAGACTTTGACGACGAGGAAAGCATTATAACATAGATGTGCGCAACTATGGATGGCCTTCGACGTCATAACCAAACTTTGGAAGATAACATTCACCATATCCAGCAAGAAATTGACATGGTGGACGAATTAGAGGCGTTGGATCCTTAACCTCTATTGAATGAAGTATGGGAGTTGCCCATCCCAGAGAACTTCAAGTTGCCATCGTTGGCTAAGTTCGATAGACGCATCGACCCGTATGAACATGTGACCTCCATCAACACTCATATGACCATCATCAGAGCACCTGACTCTTTCAAGTATAAGCTCTTGTCTGACACCTTTAGAGATGCAACCTGAGATGGTATATATGCCTCTTCAAACTCTTTGTCGCCAACTATCAATACCTGATGAAGAATTTAGTCCATCAATTCGCCACAAGCAAACAACAGAAGCTAACCACCACCAACTTGCTCAACATACGACAGGAAAAATCATACTCATTAAGGGAGTTCTCGCGCGCTTCAATGAGGCAACCATCAAAGTGATCCACCCCATTTATGAAATGTTCACATAAGGGTTCTATAACGGTCTCAAAAAGGGACACTTCAACGAATCCCTTTCCCAAAGACCAAGGGTGACGTTTGCTAAGGTAGTGACGTGAGCAGAATGTTATATCAAGGGAAGGAAAAGTATTGTTGAAAGGAAGATCTGTGACGCAAAAAATAACAATTTTGGTGCTGACAACTTGAGAAGGAACCAATACATGTCACCCATGAGAGACAAAAATATTCAAGCAGGGTGGAAAGTATAACAAAAGCCTCACCCCTAAATATCCACTAGGAGCATATATGGCGAGAGGTCATTAACAATATCCCCTAATCAACAACTCCCAAGACGGAAGTTATGAGGCTTGATCCTCACAGCTTTGGAAAAAATTCCATAAGGTGAAAGGATATAAGACAAGAGATTGTCACCAACTAAAAAAAGAGATAGTGCACCTCATTCAAGTAAAGCACTAGAAAAAGTATATTAAGAGAAGCTCAATTAGAGGATTGGGCAAATCCAATTCCCATGGTCGAGACTCTTCAAACAATCTGGTATCGAAGAAGGGTATGGAGCTAGCTAAAGTTGGCGAGGATCAATCACCATACACTTAACACAATTGCAGGAGGATTCACTAAGTGAAAAATTTCCAGTCCTGTATAAAAAGTCTAACCTTCCAAGTCCTTATTGTTGATAGTTATCCATTGAATTTGAAAATTGCAAACCAAATGCTCTAGAGGCCAGATTAACCTTTTCAGAGAAGGATGTCGTCAAGATTCACCCTTACAATGATGACCGCATGGTTATCACCGTCTGTTGTGATGATTGAGATATAAAAATGGGTTTTGATGAACTAGGGAAACTTTATGGACATACTTTGTTTTGATACATTTGAGAGGCTTCGTGTGAACATGGAGGATCGAAAATCCTTTTGAGGATTGCTTATTGGTTTTTTAGACGAATAGGTAAAGGTAAGGGGCTACATAATAGTGAAGACTACCTTTGGGCTATATAACGGAATGACCCTACATCTGCTGCATCATTTGCAACATGAACTGTTGTTGTTTCTCTTGCATATGCTACATAAATTAAGGTAATTGATTTGCTTCATTTTCAACATCATATTTAGGTTTTCCATTCTAGGCTATATGCCTCCCACGTGCTCAGCGTTGCTCATCCATAACCTGCATGTCATAGTGCTAGCCTGTGAATTTCGACTCAAACTACGCTGAAATTCATTAAGCCTAGTTTGAAAGAATATCAAGAAAATATCCACAAGATTAGGAGCACTCTCTCTTCAAAACATGTTCAGAATTTCAAAAATATTTGCAGTTGTTTAGCATTTCAACATGAAAGTGTAGTATAAAACTGGTGAGTTCGACTCACCTATTAGGTTTTGGGACTTAGTATATTCTTAAGTCCAAGGAGTAGGTAATCTAAATACATTTTAACAACACACTACAAATATTCTATAGAGAAGCTCTTCGACAAAGGTAGTTAGAGTTTGTAAAGACAATTTTAATAATAGGAGTAGTTTATAGGAATTTCGGAGACCAAAGCCACATAAAAACTTATCAGGAAACAAGAGCCCAAATAGTAGGATACATGTCAATTTCTAGAGAAGTAACCGTTATCAACGATCCTTGTTGTATTTAGTATATAAGTCGATTTCATTCATGTAAAAAAGGTTGCAATTTTTCATTAGTATTCTCTATAGAACTCAAGTATCAAAGTCATAGAGAGAAAAGAGTTTGTGAGAAATGTATAAATATGCACCCATCTTTTAATTATTTAATTCAAACATTATATTCAATTGACATTTATCATTTATTTTCATTCACTTTAGTATTTGAGCAATTTTGCACTTTAATTTTGAAGCTTTTATCCAATTATCCTTCATTGTTCTTGATCTCTACCCCATTTATTTACATCCAACCATTAAATATCCAGACACAAACACGTTTTATCAAACTGTTTTTGCATTATATGTCCTAGAATTTTTTATTTAATCCTGTAAATGAATTAAAACTTGTGATTGTTTACCAAAAACAATGGTAAACATATACATATAGAAATCAAGTTAACCAGGGATAACACTATATAATATGACATTAGTGGTTATACCGACAAACACACATATGGGGTAGAAAATAAATTACTTATGATGCCTCGTGGATTGATCGATGATCAACCTGCTCTGATACCAACTATAACATCCTAACATAAGACATGTCTAGAATTGTATTAGGCGAAGTAATAGAATGGTACTGTGTGTATACATATAGCATTTAAATGACATATTGAATAATGTAAAATACAAAATACAATAAAATATAGTACATGAAATCCAACATATATCCATACATAATACGATAAAAGATCGCACAGTCAAACATTAAATATAAGCATTAAAGCCTTTAAGTCTTCAAGCCATCTTGGGGTTGCCTTTGTCTTTCTCCGAGCTAATTGAAATAAAGGACACGAGTGGGATAAGATGTTACATCTCAGTTGATTACATACTACACCATGAGTCCACTAGGTTCTACAGGGCATCTTAATAATATATTAAATTATTAGAGTACAAACAAGAGAAAATAGCTCTTGTGATTCTTTAAGTGCATAAGCTATCAGGCACCTAGATACACAGTCATGTAATCTTTAAGGAGGTGGTTAGTTAAAACGAATAGAGTGAACTGTGATAACTTATGCATTTAGGCAGGTTTTACGGAGCGACCTACCCGTCAGAGTCCTGGTTGTATGCATATTAAGGCAAGGTCTTCAGTTACACCTACATCTATTTGCCTGGGGCCTTATCCTCCAACAAGATAGTTACATTTCAATTGAGGTGTTCCAATACCATTATTATTACATAATGGATTCCCCTTTTCAAATCACGTTATCGGAACAAGCCGATGATAACTTACTTAACAGATTCCCCATTCGGAACTTTATTATTGATACAAGTTGAAAATAAAGTTTTGTTACACTATCTACCCGCTCTTTACTACAGAGTTCTAACTCAACTCACAGGGTTCCTACGGTCAGAGGAGTATATTCATGGAACCGGCCAGAAGGCCCTTTGTTGTCCTGGGCTCCAGGGGCGATCCTCGTGTCTTCTATCTCCCAACCAGATATCGAGGGTTCATCGTGCTTGGAGGACCTGACACTCTCCTGGTGCCTCGAGTCTCGGCGGAGCTGGCGGCTTCTTTCTCCTCGTATTGGATGTACGCTTGCACCTTGAGGAAGAAGGCGTCCAACATTGCTGGAGTTCA